CAGCGACCTAATACCCTTGCTCGGGCAGATGAAGAGATCCTCCACGAGGACGCAGACACCATGCTGCGTATTTGGCAAGACAAATTGAAGCGACGCGATACCGCTCTAATGGAGATCACGCGTTCTGACGAGGATCTTCAGTGTCTGTCGCATTCAGTGTCGACGACAGCAACGTCAACAACGAGTCACAGAAATTCGCGACTTCCGGTCAGTCAACCACTGCCCGTGGTAGCGGTGACAAACACCGTGTTGAGTCCGGTAATGCAGGAATCGCGATCACGCGAGCCTATCACAGTGATTACTGAGCGGGCGGTGACAAGCCGCGAACGTCATCGGAGCATGATCGATCCAAGCCAGGTGAAGGAAGCGGTTCGTTTGTCCAGCAATCCACCCAGTCAAGTGAATCAAAATCAGGAAATCATCAATGATTTTTCGCAAAATGGAAACTTGTTACACGATCGAAAGGATGATGTCCTTGAGATAGTAAAAGAAGAGAAGTGTGCGGATCTGAAGTCCACTGGGAGCACAAGAGAATTCGAGAATGTCCAGACTGCGGACGATCCGTGCGATCAGACCGCGGTTCGACAAAACTCTGTGTTCCGCAACCGATTTATCCCTGATATAAGTGTGACAACATCGCCGTCGTCTGGTAAGAGCAGAGATCAGGAATTAAATGACGAAGGCTTTGAAGAGACGCAAAGCCTCGTGTCGGAAACCTTAAGTCAAGAGACGTCTTCCGGAAATTACGAGACGGACACGCATGATTTGATACGATGCTCATCAGCGGAACTGGGCGGCTACGGCAGCGAAAATCATCGACGTAGCGTCATCGCAGTGGTGGACGACGACGATCTAGACGGCCGGAAATCATCCGTCGACAAATTGCTGATGCCAGCTTCCGGTAAGGCGTTCAACGAAAAAACAATCGTGAGGAACGCATTGGAGAAATCCAACTTCTTACCGAAACGCACCGCAAGTTCGAAGCACGAATCCTCTGCTTTGAGAAAAATCGAGTCTCTGAAAAGAACCTCGAATATGGTACCGTTGAACGATACAAAAGTTTCAAAAAGCGAAGTGCAACGTTCCAGTTCCAGAAGCAGTCTGCGCAGTTCGCGGAGCTCGCTGAACAGCGCGACGTCTGTGAATACGGTGCGGAATTTGGCCACGAATCACGTTCATCTGCAGAACTATACTTCGGCTATCCGAGCGCTGACTAATGATCTGAGGAAGACCAGTCCGTTGAGCAGACCGTTGCCGTCGAAGGACGCAATCGATAAGAGACGATCAAGTCTTCGTCAGATGGGCATCAGCAGGATACCTGCCAGTAGAAGCAACAACAGCAGCAGCAACATCGGACCAGCAGTGAGGAGCGTTCAAAAAGCATCCGAGGTTGATATAATTTAAATATTTTTCTAAAAACAGGATTTTGTATTGTATATTCAAATCCTAAAAAACACAAGATCTTAAAAAGGTGCTGGAGCAACGGCCGAACACGATCGATGTTAATAAAACAGATTCTTAATTCAAAATAAAGCATTACGTACATTAAGTAAAAATTAAATAATATATTATGTACATTTCTTGCTCTGCTGTATCTTATATAATCGCATGAAGACTAAGTTATCTCATAGTACTCAAATCACACTTTTCCTAGTTCTCTTCAAAATTATAATTTAAAGTTCTCATTATATTGTTGTACATTATTCAAATGTAGAGAAACTACTTTTTGTTTGGATGTATATACATTGGAATTTATTGTATCGTGTGAAGAAATAACCTATATGGCAACGGGAAACTAATTTATTATTGATGTTTCATATAGGTTTGTAGTTACCCACAGCTATTTGCTATTTTTTTCTTATTTTTGGAAAATGCCGATCAATATTTAGGCTGCGCGCGGATTGGTGATGTAAGGGGCAAGAAACGCTGAAAATCGGCCAAAATGTGCAAGTAAATCCCAGCACTGCATTAAGGAGTTGCCACCAGAGTTAGAAAATAATAGCACACAGGAAAACTCTACTCTTACAGCACTTTATTTAGATTCGTTAACCTCGCAGGCTCGATGCTGACTGACTCGAAATAGTCTCTGTTACCAGTACAAATATTTCGCCAATATTTATCGCCGATCATTTCTCAGACACGTGACAACGATTCTCTATAAATCCGAACAAAAGATGTAGACCCTTTCACTTCTGAAGTGTTCCAATTTATATAAAAATATCTGAGAAATTTTTTGAAAGTTATAAAATTATAGAAGAAATATTTTTATAGACTGTCAATGTAACTGACTGTTAAAATAATAATAATAATAATAGAACGTTAAAGGCAACTGAAGGCACACCACAGTTAATATTAGCACATATTATATATCAATAACATAGATGAATCTTGTTGCTTACATCATTCTTTGATTACATACGTATGAACATTTCGGTCTTATTTTAGGCCATCTTCAGCGAATTAACAATGAATTGAAATCATGTATGCTTGGTGGAACTAAGGTAATTGCACAATTCATACGTTGCGAATGTTCCTTCTTGAGCAGCTATACGACTGTTAAGTTCGGTAAAGTTAAGAAACTACATAACGAATAACACATTAGTAAAATTTATTCCTCGACGGAAACAGACTGTTTAACAAATTTTTTTAAATAGATCACTGCGGTTATTTTACTAACATATGTATAATTCTAATATATGTATAAGTCTATAAGTAAGGATCAATCGCTCAGTAAGTAGGTTGCATTCCGAAATCCATCGAAAAAAAGTTTTGCGACCATTCTGTCCACCACTGTACAATTCCGCTCATTCAGCTCAATATACCCAAAGAATTAATTGATATACGGAAAAAATGACATAATTCTACGCTTTCCCTTGCAAAGCAAATTTAAATGTTTTATTCGAGATTTTCGATTTTTATTGTTAATCGGTAGATGGTGCCTGGCATGCCAAAGGTTACAAGGAACCGACCGATCGCCTCTCGTAGCAGCAACAGTGGAAGCAGCGTAGGTCAGCAATCAATCTTAGGAAGTCGACCGCCTTCCGGTGATAAGACATTCGCAACGAAGAGCAAATTAATGCAGCCACGAATCGGCTTAAAGGGTCATAGTTTTATGAAGCCTACGGCCGCCAGTGTCAACAAAGGTTCTACAACAAACTTACCGAAAAACATCAAAGTTGTGGTCAAAGGATAACTCTCATTAATAAAAAAAAGAATTGCATTCATCACCGAGAATTTAAAATCGAGAAGGGCTATCTAGATACGTTTAACAATTATGTTAAGATTAACAAACCATTAGCGTTATGAAAATCAGCTAAATACGGAGATTAACGTTGATACTAAATTGTAAAAACAATTTCAACGGGCAGTTCGAGATTGTTGATAATGTTATCGTAAGATAGATCTGAAAGATTAAACAAAAATATTGTTATTCTCGCTTACTATGCTGTCTCATAGTTATTAAACCAAAATAAGTAAGACTACTATCTTCTATATAGTTATATGCCATTACCACACCGAACAATGCGTGCTCGAATAAGAAGAAAATAATCAAATCTCTTTATCTTTATCGCGCGCGACACTCATTACACATATAACCAAGGAAAAGGAAATGTCATGATCATTAAGGGAGTTTTCCTTTTAGTAACCTAGAGAATATATTTATATGAAGTATATGAAACATACTCGATTAATAAATGTGTAACATGTATTATATATATATATATACAATATTTCTGTTACAAAAATGAATGTATATTATAGAATATGTGTCCGACAAATAAATTAACATATTATATGATAATATAATTTATTTGATATAGAAAAATCATGGGACATTGTTATAAACTTACGATTAGGATAAGATGGCCAAGAGTACGCACTTTTTCTTTCATGCTGTATAATACAAGAACCCGAGTTTGAGCAGTAAAATTAATTTGATACAAATAATAGGTTATTATACAAATAATAGGTTTATAACCTAACCTATTATTAATTTGATACAAACAAATCAGTTTTACAGGAGATTAATTTTAGTAAAAAGGTAAAGATGCGGACTCTAGGAAAAATGTCTTCTCAACCAGTACGCACTATAAAAAAAAAGTGTCGTTTATTGTGAGTAAAGTAAAAAAACATTTATTTTTGATTTAATATAAATCTTTATAAATTCCTAAAGCATTTTTCACGTGCAGAGTTTATACATATAAGTAAATTTTCGATTGATGGTCAATTTTGGTTAGAGGGATTCGATTGGTGTTGATGTGTGGAAATTCTGATTAGTCTTATCTAGATCCGGATGCACACAAACAGCATCAAATACTGATCAAAGATTTTCCGTGAGAGATTTATTTGACAACGATTGACCTTCTGGCCCCGTGACTTGGCTAGAGCCCTATCAGTTAAATTTGTCCACTAGAAAAATTGAATTTTAATTATTTTGATTATAACTATCAGTATTTGATTTGCTGTTATTTTAAAATTATTTGTTATCTAGTTACGCGAAAAAAATAGTTCATGACAAATCTTCCACGAAAGAAAAGAATCGTAGAGTCCTCCGAACGTAACACATTTTAGGATCATATTCTGTCGAAGATTGTACTATTGAATTATATATATATTAAAAAAAAATTGATTTTTTTGATCCTATAAATCAGAGTTCCCCCTTAATAGGTCAATGCATAGCAAATCAAAGAGAATATATAACGAATCCATAATTATGGACAATTGTTTACTACTAAAATTACTTATTAAAAATTGTGAAAGGACTGATAAGAATACAACGCAATAAGTAGTGTGCAAATAAATAATCAATAAAATGTATTTAAATTTGCATTACTTAATATTTCGATCGTTTATTCGTAATTCGTACGTTTTAGCTCAACTTCGACCCATCTTCAACGAAAAAAAAAAAGATCATATGAACATCTTACAAAGAAAACCGACAATGAGATAAACTCTCAGATTACCAAATTAATAATTTTTTTCGAGTCCTGTATCTTTTACTTAAATTGTTTATTATATGAGGTACAAGTACAATAATACTCCAGTAATTATTTCGAATATATAATTGACTTTTGTTTAGAGTCTGATTTTCACTCGTTATATATAACGCTGCTGAGGACGTAGGGCAGAATTTCCGTGAAAATATCGACTTTAGGATCCAGGCACCGGCCGAGACCCTCTATCACCAGCATACTAATAATCACGCTGCTGAAGGATCCGTCTTGCTTGACTCGGTGATGGATCATCGCGGAGAATAATTCCGACACAACGGTACTTATGTTTACCTGCAGATATCCGGGACAGCGCACAGAAGAAAACAAACAAACATGATCAAAATTAATATTGTATAATAATATATTAATATCTAATTCATATTTAGCAATAAAATTAAAACGCATATGGAAATCATAATACACATGTATAAGGTATAAATTATATCATAGATACCAATAAAAATAAATAGATAATACTAACAATACTGTTACGTCCGAGAGACTCTACGACTCTTTTTTTTCACTGGTCTTTGTCACAAACACCAAAAAAAGTTACGGGAATCAAACAAAGTTCATTTACTAAAGTATAGAAAGTAATACAATTTTTAACTATGATAATTATTGAACAGAGATTCCATACTTTTCTTATTTAACTGTCTCTCAAAAGAAAATGAAAATATTGCACGTGGATAGACGAAAGTCTTAAAATTCAGATCGGGAGACCACAATCTTCCTTTCAAACGTCTTGAATGGAGAAATCAATAGATACTCATTATCAAATTTTGACAAAGCCGCGAACTACTCCCGTTTTCATACCTCCTCATGTTCAATTACTTGACATTAATAAAAAGTATTAGTTAAATCGCGCAAGTATTATTAAAAGATTTAACTGCTAAATCAAGTAAAAATAAAATCACTGAATATAATATAATATCTCGTGTGAGAAGAAGTGGAAAACGTGGGAGTTGGGAAGAGAAAAACAAAAAAAAAAGAAAATGCATTTTGTTAAAACAAATTTCTTCGATACAAGTAAATATTTATTTCGCGGTAATAAATTATATGTATTCTCGTAAATAAATATTTCATTCCTTTGAGTAAATCATTTCGTACGTTTCGATTCCGCTCCTATAAGTAATGATTATGTTTATTTTCAATATATAAACTATAAAACTCTTATAACAAGTAAATATTAATCTCAAGTTACAGCTAAGCCAAAAGTAAGTGAATCTTTTAATTTTTTTTACTTTTTCGTGAAATTCAGTGTTTCGGATGTTTTTTGTGTGTACTTTAATTCTAAAAATCAAAATTTTTTAATCCGTAAATCTAATTTGAAAAATATAATTAATGCCGAATAGAGTTTATGTAAAGTGGAACGACTACTAGGATTCCCTTAAACTATGTAATTGATAGTAAAGTAGGACGATTTTAGGTTTCTTCTTTTTCTAAATGCCGATGGTATCTCGGACAATGTTTACGCGCACGGTATTAAAAACAAAAAAGGGAAGATTGATTCTGAAAAGCGATGTAAAAAAATATGGTCAAAGTTAAAAAAATTAAGAAGTATTCTCTTACAATCGAACAACTATCCTATAAATAGAGATCGCAAAAAACAATACGCCGTTTCAGCGATCTCTTGGATTTCAAAGAAAATACCTGTTACTAACGTTAAATGGATTGCTAAAATGAGACTTGACAATATTTCTAATTGAACATTTGAAGCCATCTGGATCGGGGGTCATGTACGAACTGTGCTCCAGGATATACTGTGCCGCCATTTCGCCCTATGTTAAATTTTGCACGTAAATCGTCAATCGTTCATCCTTAAGAAATGTAAAACACACGGTAAAAAAACAGAAGATTGATTGTATGTAAAATGTAAGTAAACAAAAAGTGTATATATAATGAGTGGAAATTTAAAAAAAGTGTGTCAAAGAATGCGATTGCAATTAAGTTTAAATTAAATAGTCTCTCTAAAAAAAATTACGTTCATATAGCCGATTGCTTTTATTGTAAATATTTTACTGTGTATTTTATTAGGGTAACCTCTTTGCTCTAGAGATATCTGAAAAGATGTGTTTCGATAAAAATTGATGTTTTGTCTCCGTTCATTTTCTTCATTAAATACTGGAGAAAAGCATACTTCGGTAAGGAAAGAAAAATAGAGAGAAGAAAGAATAAACGTGTTTATCCAGCTTAAGTTCCTCGTTAAAAAAGTAAAGAGCGTATGTCAATAGAAAGCGGACGTTATTTCCCGGACTTACGTTTCTCATTAGCACCGAGTAAAAAACATCTCGAAGATTTTGTCGGCAGCGTTCATTCAGAGATACTACAAGGCCACAGTCCAATATGATCAGGCGTGAGTCGTGCTCCGCATAATCGGGGGTAATAACCCGCCAAAAAGTGTTGAACAAACTCGCCTTCGGGACGACCGTTTCCTCAACTAGAATGTTGCCTGGATGCAAGTCACAATGGATGAAGTTATCCTTAAATATCTACAATCAAACGATTGTTTACATATTATTCTTAATCAAAAGTTGTACAATAATAAAGGGCTATGAAAAACGGGCCAATCTTTTAAAGTTTTACAATTAGATCTCGTTCGAATAAATACAACATTAATTTTCTCGAAATCAGAAAATTTTAATTTGTTTTTTTTAATGCGTTTTGGCAGATGTATTAACATTGACAACAATAAATAATTGAAGAGCTTGATACAAACCGCTCTATTTTTTTATGAAAATAATTTTTTCAAGTGAACAACGTAACCAAACATTTCGCATTTTTGGTAAGAAGGGAAGGATAATTCTCATATTTTCGAACAAAATGATCTTCATATATTTCAATGGGTTTTGTTAAATGTTTCACATGATATACTTAATAATTTACATAATTATATAAGCCCTATTATATAAGCCCTTTAATTGGAAATCGTTCGAGTTATATTAACCATTTGAAGAACCATCGCGATTCCTATCCTGGCGAGTCTCCGCTGTAAAATAGCGTCGTCGTATTCGAAATAATCTGATATCGGTGAACCCTCGTGGAAACTCTCAACGAGTATCCTGCGACGAGTCAGATGTGTGTAAGGATACGGGAACACAATGTCACGTCTCTTCGAGAAATTCGCTGAAAATCTCACAAGATTGGAAGCTTCCAGTCGCATGTCAACCTTTACAAAAATCAATGTAATTAAATGCGTGCCATCGCATTTTCGCTCACTGTTTTTAAACTACAGGCCACTCGGAGGTTGAACCTAGCACAATAGGAACGAATTGTTGCTTGGATTATTCCTTGTTCTTGTCACGAATAAAGCGATTATTTCTTATTGATTTCGTCTCGCGAACTCATAAGAATTATGCCGGCTTCAACTAGTATTAAGTAGTATCTACATGTATCTAGATACATGCATGGAGATACATTTTATGTATCCTTATGTAACCTATATTTGAGCCTACATCTGAGATATATTCAAATTGGAGCATCTGTATTTCAGAATTTCTTTTTAAAACTTCTTTTCAAATACATTTTCACGTACTTTCTGCCTCTAGTAGAAATATGTTCCTTTTGATCATTTTTTATCTGATTATTACAGTCATTAGTGACTTGTATTACAACATATAGATTAGTAATAATAATCTTATAGCATAGTTCTCTCAAATATGGAAATATTATAAATAATCAGAATTATTAATATAGTAAAATGTAAAGAAACGAATGGTAAATAAAAATAGCCATTATGTAATAAATGCAATCGTCATTATAGTGAATATAACCATTTTTTTAATATTCGCTAACTATTTATATGGTAATAATAACTAAGAGATATGGTGAAGAAAAACTTAATGCCTATCATAGTTGTAATAATCACATATTTCAATGTTGAAGCAACTATAATGTGTATAGTTAAAACAATTATAAATTTATAGTTAATCCCAAAATAACTATAAATTATAGTTAAATTATAGTACTTGCAACCATTTTTTTCTTTCAGTGTAAGTATAACAACCTTTATATTTAATACATAATATATTAAGGCTATATATTTCTCTCAGATTATCTAGTATAAATATGTAAGGATATGATATAGTCGTATGAATAAATTACTTGATTTTCCATTATGCGTGCGAATTCGTCGACGCAATCTATAAGACTGAGCCAATGCAATTTCGGAATGAAGTACGTGGCGCACTTGCAAAAACCACGCATTATTGCAATGTCCCTTCTGCGAATATATACAATACAGAATATATATAATAAAGAAACGAATATATATAATATAGGACCTCATTAGTGCCATGACAACATTTCATAGCAAATTTTTCGGCTAATTGAATTCATGTTTGATGAAAATGTCCAAGCCATTGATATTTCCCAAATATTTGGCAATTGGAAACAATAGAAAGAGATCTCTTATGAATTAATAACATTATACATTTTTTTAAGGGGATGCTGAAGTCGTTTAGCAAAAGCTGATCAAAATCAGTGAAATACATATGTGAGTCTCTCCTTCCCAGGTAGAACACCAAGTCATAATAAGATCAAAAAAATGGCATCAAGAAGAAGTCATTTTAGGAAAAATCATAATGTCATTCGATACATTTTTAATGATGATTTCGTGACGAATTATTGACATGACAGTGATTTTTAGGAGACTTTTTAACTATGTATGTCGAAAAATAAATCACGATTACGTCAAAATGACAAAGAAATGATGAAATTATGATAAACAATTGAGTATTATAATAATTTTCTACTCATTTTGACATCATTTTGATGTCCTTGTGATTTGTCGCATTCAGCAAAATATTTTGCGACTGCGGTTAAAAGTTTTTTTTGCTGAGATAGAACTATTTCTTTAATCTATCTAAAGATACAATCCAACCTCACACAATAAAGAAAACTTCCAACAGATGCAAAATAAACGTTCGCCTGAATGCATTGTTTCACCTGAAATTTACATAATTATATTATTTGTCAAAAAGAAAACAGAAAGCGTTTTATCGGCAATTGAACTTTGTCAGAAAATACTGCTAAAAATTATTTGCGCAATATCTTAAAAAGAGTACTTGACTTGGCCTTTGATTCCAGGATGCAACACTTTTACCGCTACGGTTTGCAATTTCCTGGTACACGGACTGGCAGATGTTAATTTGTCGCTTCCATTGAGAGCTTTATCTGAAATTGAAACATTTTATAAATGATCAAAAAAAGAAAGTGAAATTAAAGACAATGGGAAAATAGCGTTTTTAAAGTTGTTAAAACGTCGGTATAAGAACGAAGTGGAAAGGACCCGGGCATTACTATTGATTCAAGGTAATTTCTATACAGCAAATCTTTTCGACTACGAACAAGTGTCGACTATGAAATGGTCGACAATGAAATGGTAGAAAATGAAGTGTCCATAAATCCTTGAGAGCATCATTTCATCCATGTTATCAAATGTCAGATGTACAGGAGCGATGCGAACCTTAAGTGGAACGCACTCTAGTTGACCATTACATTTTGTTGCTCTCTTTTTTTCCTAGTTTTCGATTCCGAAGTATTGCGAGTATTTTCATATAAAAATGTTCGCTTAAAGCTAAACAAATATAAGGAAAATTCGTTTATTATAAATAAATATTTGAGTGCCACATTTAAAATGTATTTTTTCTTATAATTCTATATTTAAAAAAAATTCATAAATGTCAACCATGCACCGGGACCTGCGGGAGCCCGCGGATCCCGAGACTTGCGAGGGCCCGCGGATCTCGAGGCCCGTTGGTGCATCGCACCGATTGCACCGACGTTAAAAATACCCCTATCAGGGTAAACTCAAACATAATACTATGAAAAAGAAATGAAGATAAAATTTTATTTCAAATACATTTGTTCGAACAATAAATAACATTTTATAAAATATATTTTGTGAATAAAATTTAATTTAAAGATAAAGGATTTTTGAAATTATATACTGACAATGTTAATACGTACAATACCAAGTCTTCGATTAAAATATGACACCTCTTTTAAAAATTGACTACGAATAGTCATTGGATATTTGCTTAGCAGCGAAAAATTTAACGACTAACCGTTCAAGAATGCAGGATAATTCATAGAATAAGAAATGAAGATATGCCGACTGAAAATCGTCAGATAATTCGTATGTAAAACCACACACAATAAGAACTGCAGATCTATAACACTCGTCCTCAGCGAATTCACTTGACTATTACAAATTCAATTTAATTGTCAAATGTCGATCAACTTCTGTTACCACACTTGATTAGTTTGCGATATTAATGTAAATTTAGGTGAAGAAGGACCCGGTGGGTTCTGAAATGTTCTTATGTTAGGGTAATTTATTTAATAGATGAATTATGATTTAATACATTGCTTTGGGGCCGTCCGTATATTGCGTAAACAAATTTTTGGTCATTTTTAAACCCCTCCTCTCCCATGGAAGCAAACGTAAGGATTTCGGAGACCCCTCCCCCCTATAATTACGTAAGATTTTTACACACGCTCGATGTCCAAGACTAAAAAAATTTTCAAGGTGGTTACACGATTCTTTCAATATTATTATACGAACGATATAGTTGCATTAAAAAAATTTCAAGTTTTACTTAAGTATATATGCGACCTCCTCCCCCATGTAAGCATTCGTAAGAATTTGTCTGATTTCCCCCTCCCTCAATTATGCTTACATAATATATGGGCGGCCCAATTACATAATACGAGCGATTTTATACATTTGATTTTAAAAAATCAGAGTTGAGAAAAAATTAAAATAAATTCAGTAGAAATATTTATTTAAAGAATGAATCCACAACAAAAATTTGAAACAAGTGTTTTGAATAATAAATTTGAAAATAAGTAGAATATAGTCTTATTTTTATTATTTTAATTTTTCAAATTGAGGTTTTCTTGAATTAATTTCATTAAAAAAAAATTTATTTTCGTGAAGTGAATCGAGATAAATTCGCTTCAATATCAAAATAACGAAGTATAGTCCTAACAAAAGTATAAAATTTAAAATATGAGAAATGATTATTTCCGCTCTTGTAATATGCACAATACAAAATTGTATAGAAGTTATACGGTCAATTAAACGATCCAAATTATGATACGAAATGTAAAAATTTTTAGAAAGAGCATTTCAATAATATCGCGTTGTTCATTATAGATCTGCGACCGACCTGATTTCTTTGCACGTATATTTAATACACGGCTATACGTAAATCTATTCAGGCAGGCTCAAATATCAAATGTAAATGCTTCATCATTCTAGACAATAACAAAAATGATTTTTCGTGAAGTCGCCTGTGATTTCTACCGCGGCGATGTTACACGTGCACAAGGAAAGTGATAAAAATATTTCTTAACTTACTATCCACGAAATGCAATATCTGAGGCTCCCGTGTTGCACTTTGATCGATCCAAGCTTTATACACCTAAACATCAATTTGGGACGATGAAAAGTCGGGCAAATAACATTCATCCCATCGCAACTGCAGTATACCCAATTCGTGTGTGGCAAGTATATACAATATTATGTAAATCTGTCTTCTACTTGCGTCCACTCTATCTCGGGCTGCATACCTGCGCACAACATCCTGAGCCAATTGGTTCTTTGCCGTCAAACTTCACAAATAAATTCCGCCACGAAAGACCATATGTCGCTTCGAGTAGGCGCTCTGTATACAGCCACGAATGCGGTGTCACATTTCGTTGCAGTTGAGAAAGCGTGTCGCAAACATCCCGCGGAAAGACATCCCATCGCGTGGAGACCCATTGACCGAACTTGACGAAAATTGGTCCGAGAAACTCGATACCTGTGGAAAAAATATAATATAACACACTGTGTTATATATTACAGTTATCTTGTTGAGCTGACATTCCATGTTACATGTACGTTACATGTAACATTGTGTTTACTGGATTATAACTTACAGTTTACAGCTTCCCTGATGAGTTTCGCTGAAATTATTCTATGTTTTGGAACATTTCAGCGAAATTGCTGAAAATTTACTAAAATTTTACTGAAAGTGAATTTTTCAGCTAACATACTGAAAAATCACTGAAATCCAATCGAAATTTCTCTGAAATTTTCAGAAATTTTGTCGAAAATGAATTTTTCAGCTAAAAATCGCTCAAAATAAACTAAAATTTTTTTGAAATACTGAAATTTTGTTGAAAAGTGATCCAAAATGTGGAATAATTCAGGCAACATTTTTCCACCAGAGTTACGATTTCTTAGAGCTGTATTTATAATAAGTTTTTATTTCAAGACTGTCTTAAGTAATATCTTAAGACACTAATACTTAAGACTGTACTTAAAACGAACTTGAATACAAGGGCCGGAATCCATAATCCGGTCTCAATCTCAAGCAATGTCTTAAGATGCTAATACGGCTCTCTGATTGGTTCATGCACTAGCTGAAGGCCATCTAGAATCTTGAGCATCGTCTATGAATTCCGCCCAAGAGATTCTGACAAGAGCTGCGTTTGAAAACATCACCCAAGTGTCCCAATGCATCGTTTTATCCTTGTTGTTCACCCAATGTTAAATAAGGATAAGATGATACACGGGGGCACCCGGGTGATATTTCCGAACGCAGCCTATGAATGTCGGCTTCAAAACAAGGTTGTGGACAAGGTATTTAAGTCCCAAAAATGTACACTAATTCAGCCACTGAAAACAGACCTTAATTTTCTAACATCGTGTTCGAAACTATTAGTAAACAAGTAAACTGTTACTGCTAACATTTTGCTTACCTTTTCGTAGAATGATGGGAAACAAACTCGCATGGGTTAAGCGCGTAATCAAGTACGCAACAAGCAGAATGGTAATAACCGTGCTTACAATCGCGATCCTCGCTAATACGAGTATCATCTCTTGCGCGTCTACGAGAAAACCGTTCTTTTGCCCTTCTTCCTCCTTTTCTTCATTGATAGGCCACATTGTTTGCAGTTCGCGGATCTGCGCACGAGGTTTGCAGAAGAGCGCAGTCGAAGCAAGATTGTGATTGGTCCACTGATTAGGATACTCACCGCGGCAATGCGTCATCGGCGGCGGATGAAAGTGACGCCCTCGAGGACGATAATACAATCGCCGGCGCGCAATATCATTGCCGTAGCGACAAGAGCTCGTAAAAAGTCGCACGAAATTTAGATGTAACGACATTGCCGGGATTCATAATTTCTGTCGTTCCAAAGTATAAGAGAGCAAGAAAGGCTACGTTTCATGATCAGCAATGCTATTCCCGTGCGTATCCATGTCACGAGTTTCCACAAAATTTCTTATTCTTCTTTCTGAGATAAATCTTTCTTAATTTGATCGCCAGGGCGCTTACGCGCACTTTTCCGGTACATCTGAAAACTCTTTGCGTCTGAAAACAATACGCATCACGTTGAACAGTGTTCCGATCGGTGCTCCCTTTCTTGCGCATGCGCGTCAAGAACAGGATCAGTGCAGTATCTAGGGCTGCGGTCCACTTGACGCTACAAACGCTTCGAAGTATTCTTTGATTAGTCAATTCGTAAAATTCTTTGTTCTGATTGGTCGCTCAAACGCTTCGTAGCGTTTGTAGCGTCAAGTGGACCGCAGCCTGTGATTGGTCAATTTCTTATTCTTACTTTTTAAATCAAGCTTACTACGTGTATTGTAGACGGGTCATTATGCGGGGGTCTACAATAAATAGAAGTCGTAGCGGTCGTAAGGTCTTAAATCTTAATAGAAAATTGACCAATCACAGTCGAATATGAGAAGAATAATCAACTGTGATTGGTCAATTTCTTATTCTTACTTTTTAAATCAAGCTTACTACGTGTATTGTAGACGGGTCATTATGCGGGGGTCTACAATAAATAGAAGTCGTAGCGGTCGTAAGGTCTTAAATCTTAATAGAAAATTGACCAATCACAGTCGAATATGAGAAGAATAATCAACTGTGATTGGTCAATTTTCTATTAAGATTTAAGACCTTACGACCGCTACGACTTCTATTGTAGACCCCGCATTACGGCCGTACGTTTTTCTATGTGCTCTTGGCTTAAAGCGGGGAGCACAGACTTTTGCATAACGCATAACATGTAATGCATAAGAAATTCAATCAATCAGAATTCTTTATTTCATGGAAAGGAAGGAAACGGAGGGCTTTGATTGGTACATTTTCTTATGCATAACGCATAACACGTAATGCATAAGAAAATGTACCAATCAAAGCCCTCCGTTTCCTTCCTTTCCATGAAATAAAGAATTCTGATTGATTAAATTTCTTATGCATTACATGTTATGCGTTATGCAAAAGTCTGTGCTCCCCGCTTAACGATTAATATCTTGTCCACAAGGCAGAGTGACAGTTCTTTTTTATCAAATTCATTTGTCGTGCAAAAACGCATGGAATGAGCGTAATTTCATTAAAGTCGGTGAGGAAGACAGAATTCTTGAGTATTACCAACTCTTTCTATAGGAAGATCAAATAAGATGATAGTGAGTTAATATTTTGTTTTTTTCGTAATGAATGTTTGTTCTGAATTAATCGACGTTTCCATAAGGAACGTTCCGATTGTTTAGACTACTCGTATTATGAATCCTGTTGCGTTTACTATTGTTATCAAGCGACAAAATACACATCTGAGTATCTGGTATCGCTTTGAAGCTGTTTGCACTGTGTACGATTAGTGATTCGTACAATAATACAACATAACCTGGATGCTGTTTATTCTTACCATGTCATTCCGTATTTTTGTGGAAAATGGATGTCTTTACACAATTACAGTGCAAAAATACATATATTTATATATATATATATAACATTGATACTTTATACAAATATCAATTGGTTAACGTTTTGCTTGACCTCTTCGTATGGGAACTATTAAGTTGATTCTACAATGAGTCGGTAATCGGTAGTCCTAAGTCTTATCGGTGAATGCGTGAAGTTGGCCAACAACCAATTTATATGACCAACAATAAGACTACCGATTTTCTTAAGACTGACCAAATTCAACTTTATTCCTTTCCATTAATCGAGTTAAACGACTCGCTGTACAATTAATATTAGATAGATGCGAAAAATCATAGTCCCCTATTTAGATTAAAACTGGTTAAGACTTAAGATTTCCGACTACTGATTCATTGTAGAATCAGTATTACTTTGATGATCCACAAACACTGTAATGTTAATGCATGTATAGCTGGGACATGTCTGGGTCAATAGATGTTTCAAAAAAATTGAACGCATAAAGTTAAAATATATTTCTTTCATAAATAAATCAAAAAATTTGTAGTTCTACTAACTGAATATTGTAATAACTGTATATTTTTTATATTGACATTGAATATTGTAACCATTTTATATTAACAATTATACTGTTGATTGACTATTGAATACCCAGATAGCAAAGCGTGTCTCAGCAAAATCTCGCAAATCTGTGATTGCTTATGATGCTGACAATTTGCCGTAGATTTATCTTCAACGATTTTGAATATACCGACATTGTAATAACATGCAGACAACAATGTGTATATGTATTGCCAGCAGTTTAACAGCAAGATAGCTACATCAATGTTATCTTGCAATCTTAATTCAACTCAGGATATCGATCGTGTAACTTTTTCTCTAGAGCGGAAACGTAAAAAGTGAAATTTTTTTGTATCTATGTGTGTATATATTCATACATACATATATTCATAAAAATTTTCATTTTTCACGTTTCTGCTCTAAAAAAAAAGTTACACGATTGCGTTATTTACTGAAAAAGTAATAAGTATATAATAATTTGTAACGCATTGACAAGTTACTTTTTCCGTTACAAGTAACAAATAAAAGTAACTAATTACAAATAAAAAGTTATTTTTTTCAGTTATGAATAGAGTTACCAATTCTCGGTCGTACGAAAAGAGTACATTGATTAGCAAAAAGAGTACACTTTCTGAAAAAAAGAAAAAAGGGAAAAAAAAATGAAGAAGAGGTGGTTTTCTGTTTTAAATGCCGGTATATATATTCAATAAAATGACATTTCTAGAATGTAATTTTTATTGACAACCTTTATTCAGTCTTCGTAAACTTACTATAATATATAAATATGTTTATTCACATTTTACTAAGTAACCAGATTTTTTTAACGTTAATAGAATTGAGAAAATAAAATTGATTCATGTATTCCACGTATTTTGCAATTTATAAGTTGCAATTTAAAATTTTTTCAACAAATATATATAATCAAATCTCTAATAAAACCTCTACATACAGTACAAAGTTGCACAAAAGTTGCAGCAACATTACATGTTGCAGCAATATTGCAGAGATTTTGCAGCGATATATTGCTGCAAATTCTGTGCTGTATTGTGTATGGTATGTATAACATAAACAAAACTTCTATATAATATATAAATAAATATTTGTATACTTATTACATACTGTCTAAAACAAACACAGCCTTAGTATAAGCCAAGCAAAACTTTTTTGTAAAATAATAAATTTAAATATTAAATAATTTTTTAAATTTTGTCTCATTTTAAAAAAAAAAGTACAATAAGTGAAAAGTAAGAGTACGCTGTTTTTCGACTTTGAAAAGAATACGGTTGGTATTCCTAGTAATGAGTGACTTTTCCAACTGTAGTGTTACCGTATCATCGTTATAAAAAATTCGCAACGTCATTACCAAATTGTTATTATAACAAAGTAACGATAAAAAGTATCGACGTTACAAAGTAACGCGTACTTCTATCTATTTCCCTTAAATATCTCTTTCTTAATTTTAACATTACACAAAAGTAATGAAAAAGATCATGAATTGTTACTTTCTAAGTAATGATAATGGTAATGCGTTACTTTTTAAAATTAGTGACGAATAGCGATAATAATCAAGTTACGTTCAAAAAAAACAGTAACGCCTATTTTTATGAGTAACGTTCCTAATTCTGAGTATACATAACATAAATCAAAGCCTAGAATTAACTGGACGTAATTCCTGAACGTACCCCTGTACAGACCAAAAAAGGTAAGATATTGACCAAAGGAGCAAAGCAAATAAAGGAAGAGAATGTCTCTACGCTGAGTTTTTACATCTACATGGCCTTAGGCGCAATGGGAATGCACTTCATAATGATGGTGTTGCGTGAATTCAACGCACTGACGATAGTAAGTTAAATCTCGTGTCTGATAAGATTTATTCACGTCGCATGCTCTAACATGCTTCAACATACTCCTAGGGTGCGTTCCGAATTACGCATGAAGCGCACGAAGTATCATTTTATCCTTTATTATTCGGTAAACAACAGAAACAAATGATACATCATGCGCTTCGTACGTAATTCGGAACTCATCCCTATTATAGCTCCTACTTACTTCCAACGAGTCCGTTGGAGCATGCGACGCGAACAAACCTGTGGATACCGACACAGCTCTGTAGCCACGAAACCCTTTAACTGTGTGTTATCGTTACAGAGTTTAATGGCATTTTCTGCAATTATATATATAGGAAGCTATCAATTCATGTCGTACATGGCTCGCGCCACGTATTCAGAATCCGGCCAGCTCCTGGATCCAGGTGCTGATCTCAACATGGAAGGTGGTATAGCAGAGTGAGTTTTTGCTATAAAAGTACTTCTCATCGCTATTACTTTCTCTCCAGATTACTTTCTCCACTTTTCCACTAGGACATCCATAGTATGTCTATTGGACATTCATTTCTAAACATTGGAACGTCCATTGGATGTCCAAATTAGATCTTGAAATTAGGTCAGATTCATAAAATATATATTTATTACAACTTTGTACGTCCATAGAACGAAATATATCTAATTTTGGATCTATTATATATTTATTATTGACTGATTAAAATGGACATCCTTGGAATGTCCAATGTTATCTGGATCCTATTGTTTAATGAACAAAGTATCATAATTTTGTTTACAGACATTTCAAAGATTTAATCATATTAACGTCAGGAGTGCAAATCCTATCTCTTATTTCGAACTACTTCTGGTTATTGTGGCTTTTGGTAGGTACTTCAATAAATTATTTGCATTGCTTTTCTTATTCAATGTCACAAAAGGACTGCATATATGTTATTGCGTATTTTGAAAATTCTACAGGTACCATTGAGGGGAAGCTGGGTGTTCTGGAAACAAATTTTGGCTCCGTGGTTCTTTGCTCAGCCACAAGAGCAATCTGAGATGAACGAAAAGAAAATGCGCAAGTTAGAAAGGAAAATGGCGAAGCGATACCAATGAAAATTTTTCGTTGCTGTAACAGTAAGAAAATTCCATTGAATTACAACTGATTTAACCAAGGGGATGGTAGTAAGTTCAAAAAACACTGGAAAGGGACAGAAGTTTGGAAAATTTAAGATTTTTTTTTCTTCTCAAGAAAGTTGAGACTGTGCAGTGGTTCGACATTTATATACGATAAATATTAAATGAAACAAGATTTTAGAGATTTTTACAAAGATGTACGAAACAGGGAAACACTTTCACAGAACTAGAAGGAAAATCGCAAATTGGGAGATAGATTTCGTCTTCACCTCTTTGCATTTTAAACAATTGATTCTCGGCAGACTGCAATCCATTTTATTATATCTATAAGAATTGAGACACTTCTTATTCGATAATATTTGTAAATTTATTCCTATATAAAAAGTCGGAGGCAATACTAAATTATTAATTATATTCATTTAAAAAGAGATATTACATTAAAATAGGAAAATAAAGAAAATCTTAAAATCGTTTAAAGTTGAATAATAGATGACCGGAATAATCATAAGATCAGTCCAGTGGAGCAGTTTTAGCACACTAATTGTAACTGTTAGTTATAAGAATGAAGAATCCCATGTTCTCAGTGGGTCCCATTAATTTTTCCTCTAGCACTATTAATAAGTATTACTTCCATTTGCACGATTCATATAGGAATAAAACTCCTAGATAAGAAGTATCTCGATTCGTTAATCTTTATCTAACTTTGTTAATTATGCTAATGTAAATTATCCTTTTTGTAATTATAGTGATAATACAGTAATGCTCAATTTTTTAAATCTTTTATTATATGCGTGAGAATTTGAATAATAAAATGAGAATACGCGCACGTACGTGTGCGCGCGCAAGTGCCTTCTTGGAAATAAAGATAATTAATGACGTTGAAACACGTTGAGTGGGTAAAAATCAAATAATAGACGTCTATAATACTTGTATAGTACGTTTGGTAATTATACAGTTTAGCTGTCCGCACCTCAAAAATCAATGAATTAGGCTTATTCGATGTTTTTGCATTAAAAAAGTATTGTTCTACTCTACGAACCGAGATATTAATTAGGGTTGCATCGGATCATAAAATTACCAGGATACATATTATGGAATGAGAGTTATCCCATTAGTACTGAGTTCAGATTCCAACTCGACCACTCCATCCTTGTTGTTTATCGTATATTAGACAAGGATGACATGACACCCAGGGAGCATCCAGGTGGGAATCTGAACACGCCTTAGGGTGAAATCACACGATGCGCTTTCGGAATAGCACTGATTGGTTGTTTCAATGACGCATTCTCTATTCCGCAGTCTTTTTTCGCACTGTGTAATTTCACCCTTAGGCCCGGTTGCACCAACGTTAGGGCCGTAGCAGAAAGGCTGACTTATAATCTTAAGACAGTTCTTGTGCGTTACCGCGGATCTACAATAGAGTTTTAAGCCTTAAGCCATAAGAAATGGACGAATCATAGTCGATTATTCCCCTGGAATTCGACTATAATTGGTCAATTTCTTACGACTTAAGGCTTAAAACACCTATTGTAGATCCGGAGAGTTACTAAAGACAAGAATTAAATCATAAGACACTCTCTTAAGATTATAAGTTAGCCATTCTGCTAAGGCCCTTACTTTGACTTCAAGCGAGACTCAAAACTCGTATCCGTCTTGTTTTAAAGCCAAAAAGAGACGGAGACAGAAAGAGTTTTAAGCCTCGCTTAGAATCAAAGTAACGTTGGTGCAATCGGGCTTTAGGGGGTCCGCACACACTTTCCGGAACAGCAATCGAAAGACGTATCATAAGCACTAAGTCCGGATCTACAATAGGTGTTTTAAGACTTAAGTCGTAAGAAACTGACCAATTAGTCCGGACCTACAATAAGTGTTTTAAGCCTTAAGCCGTAAGAAATTGACCAATTACAGTCAAATCCGAGGGAAATAATCGACTGTGATTCGCCCATTTCTTATGGCTTAAGACTTAAAAACCTTATTGAAGATCAGTAGTGATTGATTACCAGGGTAATCACAGTCAAGAATTTTCAAAAACTTTTAGCTTTGATTGACTAACTTTTAGGGTGTCATTACATGAAGCGCGGAAACGACAATAACTCGACTTTATTAGATAATTTTCGATCCTAACTTAGTGGAACTAATTCAAACTTGAGTTATCGGAAGCACCCACAGCCGATTATTTCTAGATCCATGAATAAGAACCAATCGCTTGGTGAACAAGCTACATTCCGAAACCTATCGTAAAAAAAGTTGTAACCTTTTTGTGACCGGCTGTACATACAGGAACGTCTGTCGAACGTCTGCCATTTTCCACTATGGACACCATGGGCCACAACTTCGGGCGAGTGGCAGTAGGAAGAATCATGAAGAATGCGCTACGGTTGATTGGAATCCGTCGGTCGGCGGATAACCCGGGCTCTACTTATAACATTTGATTAACAACTTCATACTTATATACTCTTATAGACTTAACAGGATTCTCGTTTCTGACCGACGAATTTTTATCGTGATTAATTTTATCGACTTATTATTTTTTACTTTATATATATTTGAAATTGTTTAGCATATGACATGGTCTCTTGTTATTGTATTTTTTGTTTAATCTTCTGCATTATTTTTATTCATTAGAATATTACGTGTAATTATTTGTATTAGAATTATTTGTGTCAAGATTTAAATTTTAATTTGTTATCATTTGCTAGAATTGATAGAGACCAAGTAAAGGTCACAAAAACGTTTTTTCATATATTAGTTAAGGTCACCACAGCCATATTGAATCGTGACGTCAGAAGCGAGAAATGACATGTTAATTTATGTTGCATGCCATTTGTAAATAAAGACAATTTGGATAAAACAAAATGATGAGATTGCTTTAAAACATTTGTAAAAATCGACGAAAACTATGCTTATTCCCTCTGACAGTCGGTAAATAATCATAAAAAGTAATAAAAGGCATGTGTAAGTGAAAATAAGCTACGCGTTTGCATTGAATAAAAGCACTTCTTCATGTGCCTTTTATCACTTTTTACGATTATTTACTGACTGTCAGGGGGGATAAGCATAGTTTTCGTCAATTTTTACAAATGTTTTAAAGCAATCTCATCATTTTGTTTTATCCAAATTGTCTTTATTTACAAATGGTATGCAACATAAATTAACGTGTTATTTCTCGCTTCTGATGTCACGATTCAATATGGTTGTGGTGATTACTCAAGAGCCTTAAATACAATATATAATATGATGAACTATTAAAAATTATTATTTATATTACATCTATTATTTGCTCCTTTCTGGCCGTTGTTTTTTAAATTTACTTTTGTAAAAGAAGAGCCGATTTCTATACTTTTTTTTAGCCTATTCTGAAACTTCATAACAGCAATTTCATTACTTAGGGATGTCGTTACGCAGATATACATACTAAAAAAGCTACGCAATGACAGTAAAACGATATCGAACTGCCATTCAGAAATTACAGAATAGGTCTACAGAGAAAAATATGTAAAGAAAATTTTTGGAAAACTATATAATAAAATGTATTTTTTAATAGAGCAATATTTGCAATCATTTTACATAAAATGTAAAATATATCGAGAATTTTTCTTTCGGTAATCAATAAATATCGGCATATTTAAAATTATTCCTAATCGGAAAACAAAACAAAGCATGTGACAGCTCAAATGGAGATCAATGATTTTATTCTATTCCGAGAAAAGACAATTTTCGATATATTTTACAAGTGTACTCTTGCTACGGGCCACTTGATGCTATAAATGCTGTAAAGCATTCTTTGATTAATAAAATTCTTTCTTCTGATCAATCAAATACTTCGAAGCATTTATAGCATTAAAAAATGGACTATACCCTTTATTAAATGTAAATATTATTTTATTGAAAATCTTTCTATTTTAATATATTTTGTAAGAATTTTCGTATGTTTTCTTGTTATGGCGTTATCATTCTGAAGATCTGTAATGAATGGTTAGGGAAGTACCTTAGCCAGTACCCAGAATTGCAAATCTTGAGCATGGACTTAGACTGAAAGTATCTAAACTTATATTTCTAATTATAGATTTTATTAAAAATGTTTTTGTTTGATTACTGTATTATAGAGCCAATTATATGTATAGCGACAATTATATACAGGATAGATACTAAGTATTCTAAAAGATTTGAAGGAGTAATTCCTTCTACAAATTCACGACGAAATTTTCGACGAAATATGTCCGAAACGGCTTAGTTTCAAAGATATAGCATCAAAGTTGAAAGAAAAAGTTTATTTTTTCCAAAAAATATTTCGAAAACCATTCCGATTATTTTGATAAAATAAGTTGTTTCTGATATATATAATAAGTTGATCATATGATCATATGAAGTTTTCATCTTGATTTGTGTGAGGAATCTTTTAAAATCTTTCAAAATACTTAGTGTCCACCCTGTATATATATATATATATATAAAAAAATAGCATTTTTATCCAGATTGAAATAAAAATTTATCTCTTTCCGACTAAACATGTTATCTGTTTGCTAGATATTGATGTTGTGCGTGCATGCACAATCAAACGTAGCACACACACACACATGCACAAACGAAGACTAAACTTATCTTGATTTAAATATGTTTTTAAATGCATCATTGGACCAGTCTTTCTCCGATTTCAGTGTCTAAACCCTTCTTTTTCCGGTAATTGTATTCTGATTGATAACTCGGTGGATGATTGTGTTCGTGCACTCCCGTTGGCATGAATCTCTCAGCGATCACAGAGCATTTACCGCGGCAACCGCGATGCTGCTCTGCACAACGGTAGTGTGAGCTATTATATACTTTAGAACGAGAGGTCATGTTATACACGTATCCTTCATGGACCAACTGTGGTCTACCTCTGGCAGATAGTCTGTAGATCACTGGTTCTACATCTGCAAATTTATGTCAACTTTTTTTTAATCAAGATTCATTTCACACAACAATCAAACAATTAATTTAATATAAATATCTTGCAATCAGTAAATTAATATTTCATTATGTTTATGAATAATATAATAAAATACCTGACTGTAGTAATGATGTTCCTTCCAAATTTTGTTCATTAGACAACTCAATTATTTTTTCACTATTATCAATAGCCTTACTAGTCTTGTTACATCTGATATCCTTTTCATAATTGGAATCATTCACATTATCTGATTTTTCATCATTATCTGACAAGAGACAAATATCGTCCTTGCTATCAACATTTGATTCATTTTTTAACTTTTTGATCGAATTATAATTGTCCTTGACCACCTGTTTCTTTCTCGTTTTAGTATTCCTGTTAGCTATCCTGCGAGAGTGTACAGATTCATCTGGAGTTTTGTTCTTGCCTTCTTGCTCGCATAGAACATCAGATAAAGCAGTTACATCCTTCAAATCATGCGGATCTGACACATTGACATAATCATTTAACAATGGTATGATGTGTCCCTCGCCACCTTCTAATCCTTTTATTTGCAGCATCTGCGCAACTTTTAGGAAAGTAGACAGTTCATCCTGTTTTATATTCACCTCTCCTTGATATATGAACTTGAGCAGAGATATTACTTCTGTGTGCTTTACATCTTTCAGTATTATCACTGGATGTTGACAAGGATTCTCCTGCAAAATAACTTGGTGTTATTTAAGTACAATTTTATTTACAGGATATCGTTAACAATGAAATCGTACCTTGAATATATTTTTGAAGTAAGGACTGCATACAGACAGAACTAGCTTGTGGGCAGCTAACAATTGTCCCTCTACAGCGATTGTTACATCAACCAAATTGTTCTCATTCAAATGAGAAAGAAAGCCTGAAGTCAAGTTGTTGCAAAAGTCATTCCATCTCAAAGAAAATTCTTTTGATGATAATTTCGTAGCCATGTTTCTCTATAAAAGAATTAACTTTTAAAAGTCCTTTAAATAAGCATGAAAAGGATTTCTTACAATCTAATTCATTAAACACATATAATTTAAAAAAGATAAAACGTAAATGTTTACAAAAATGCCATGTTCTTAATTGTATTGAAAGGAATTATTAAACAAAATATTAAATTCTTTAGTTTTTCAACAATTAATTTAATATTAAGTACTGACAATTTAATATTAAATTAACGATTATACATACAACCTAATCACACTTAACCCATACCCTATCATGGGTCACTAGTGACTAAGTGATTCTTTACTTTTTGCCAACTTACGAGTCTTTCGATAATTATAACACATTATATTTTGTTATTTTTCAAATTAAGTATAAACGTTTATTCTATAAAGTTAAATGTATATTTGTGAATTTTGAAGCTGATTCTATAATGAGTTCGTAGTCCGAAGTCTTATCGGTGAAGTTGACCAACAGCCAACTTGTACATACAATTAAATCTACCGATTTTCTTAAGACTAACCAAATTCGACTTTATTCCTTCCTATGAGTCGAGTTAAACGACTCGCTGTACAACTAACAACTAGTAGATGCGAAAAATCGTAGTCACCTTCTTAGGTTAAAACTGGTTAAGACTTAAGATTTCCGACTATCAACTCATTGTAGAATCAACTTGAGGGAATTTTTGAACTATTTTAAATAGGTGAAAACATGAACAAGTTTCAGTGACCCACAATAGTAGGAATGAGGCACTGAACTGAGCATAGTATTGTAAAGTTTAAGAATACAATATATATTTTTAATATCTTTGTAATAAAAACGGATAATTACAGTTTGAAATAAATAAAGGAAACTCAAAATTACCTTAAGATTTTAGCAGATATAAAAAAATAACGTATTATTTTCTTTATTTTTGTTACTTTTTCGTTTAATAATTGTATATGTGCTTTGGTTATCGTTTTTAATGTCACAAATCGTTCAAATGGCCAAACGGTAGGGATGGGCGATATCTTAAATGGGGCAGTATCGATATCTTAAAATATCGATACTTTTGAATTTGATTCTCGATATTTTGTATCGAGTTTTTATCTTCCGATATTAACATATATTGACAGTTTAAGGCTGGAATCAGACTAGGCATTGAAGATTGAAAGATTGCCGAAATTCAATTTCGCCGAAAGATAATTCAATAGAAAGTCACTAGTTAGTATCCGTATCAAGTGCACGATGTAAATTAGGCAAATAGGTTACGTGATCAAAATTGACGCTTAACATTCGTCGCGATTTATTTTGACGCCGAAAATGAGCGTCGAACGTCAGCATGAAAAGGTACCTTAAAGGTACAATTTCATGCAGCGAAGCTTCGCTGGCAAAGTTACTCCCACTCGCCATGAATAAAGGAGCGTTGAACAGACAATCCAAAAAATTGATCAATTAAAAGATGCTTCGAATTATTTGGCCAATCAAGTGAATCATAGCCAGAGTCAGCGTTGCTTTGCACATAGTTGGACAGTGTTGAACTTTGAGTGAAGCTTCGCTAGCTAAGCATTTTCGCACGAATCGGCGGAGTGGGGGGTTTTCGCCAGTGAAGCTTCGCTACATGAAATTGTACCCTAATGAACTTGCTACAATAAAGGTGCGATTTCACGCAGCGTCAAAACGCTAGTGGCTCTCCCCACTCTGACCCCCTACGAGCCGCCGTTGACAAAGCAGCGTCTAGCGAGCACTCAGTGAGCAGTTGTAGTACTGAATGCACCCAATGGGTGCATCCAGAAGCACGATTGCTCACTGAGCACCTACATTGAACGCTGTGACGGCACCCTAAGGCCGGAATCAGACTACGCGTTGAAGATTGAAATTTGACCAATAAGGACAAAGAAATTTTAGCTCCTTTCATTTAGATTGGTCAAATTTGAATTTTTCATTCTTCAGTCTCAATCTTCAATGCATAGTCTGATTCCGGCCTAACAATCTTTAGCCAATCAGTTCGGTGACACCGAGAGTATGCATTTCCTATAGCAAAAATGAGGGACTAGTAGTTCATGTGTATTTAGGGTGCGTTCCGAGTTGCGCATGAAGCGCATGATGTATCGTTTTATTCTTTATTTGGTGAACAGCAAGGATAAATGATGCATCATGCGTTTCATGCGTCACTCGGAACGCACCCTTAGTCAAAGCACGTAATACAGAACGTGTTAAATTATCAGGCACATTAAATTCCTATAATCGATTACAATAGATATCGAAATATATGGTCTGTTCTTTTCTGCTTAATTTTTTTGCACAACATTCATCTTTCTTTTTTTTTTCTTCACAAACCGTTTAACTTAATAGAATATATATCGACGATTAAAGATTCTCTTGGTCAAGTTGTTTTGAACGAAGCATTGTTTTTCTAAGTCATCTAAGAACGCGCTTAAAATAAAAATATGCAACAAAAAGGAAAATGAGGGTGAGGAGATCAAACTATCACCGATTTCAAAAAAGATGAAGATCAAAGTTTGTAAAAGCAAACTGAATCTATGATCGCGTTCAGCAGACTCAACTGTTGCAGAGCAGATCTATGAGCGTTCGCTGCTATTGGTGTATTCTTCTAGATTATCCAATAGCAGCGAGCGCTCACGGATCTGCTCCGCAACAGTTGAGTCTGCTGAACGCGACCATTGATACATTTCGATCATCAATATATACGAATTGCCTCTTCGAAAGAATGCTGTATATCCATATATTTGTCATTGTATCAATACATTGCGATAAAGACAGCTTGTCGAGTGTCACGATACTTGGAAAACTGTATCAGTGATGAATGGTTGTCTAATTTTCCTTGTCTAATTTTCCGAATCCATTGTTTTCTCCTTGCTATCGTTGTTCTCCGATGCGGATCTACTCTTGTCGTCCGATTGTTTAGAATCCGACTTGTCACTCGATCGCTTCTCTTTATTAGATTTCTTCTCACTTCTACTGCTCTCTTTCTCGGGCCTCTCCCGATCGCTATCGCTTCTCTTACCATTATCTGACTTATCTTTGCTGCGCCTTTCTCGATCTTTATCTTTGGTCTTGTCCAAGGAATACTTGGATTTGGACGATCTGGACTTAGATTTTGAACGCGACCGTCTAGACCTGGATGTAGAGCCCTTGCTTCGTGAACGTGACCGACTGCGACGACGCGGTGATCTCTTCTTCCGCTCTTTTGACCTAGATGGTGATCGACGTGACCTTTGACGAGATAAACAAGTTAATACATGTATTAATATATATATATTAGAAATATATACTGATCTCTTTAAAGACGGAGATTTCATTCGCATCTTGAATTCCTTTTTTCCATACTGAAACATTTTTCTACAATATACTTAATATTTTTCTAGAATTTGTAATGCTGAATTCCATCACTTGCACTATGCTGGATCAGTATATATTAAAAGCTACTTTATATAAAATATCTCAATGCAGTAATACAATATAATAAACTTTAACAAAAAAATGATACATGTATATTTTGTTAAATATAACGTGAGACAATATCATTAATAGATAGTTAATCGTATAAAATATTCATATATTTTTACATTTAATTTTGCGAATTTCATGTATAGCAGCTTTTAGTATGCACTGATCTAATGTAGCGCAAGTGACGAATTCGCTATACACTAAATATAAGCAGAATTCAATATGTGTGAATATAATATGACAGAGTTGGCGAAGAACAGAAGATTGTTTAGTTATATACCTCGACCTCCTCGACCTGCTACGCGAACGGTGGCGACTACGTGAGCTGCTGCGTCGTCTCGATGGAGAGTTGCGCCTGCGATCCTTCGATCGAGATCGTTTGGAGCGCGAGCGCGATCGACGCCGATGACGAGATCGCGAGCGTCGGTGGCGCGATCGCGAACGCTTACGTGATCTCGAGCGTCGGCTACGTCCACGGGAACGCGAACGAGACTTACGGCTACGCGAGCCACTTCTGCTTCGCTTATCCTTGGAAAGCATACCGATCATCGGGTCAATTGCCGCAGAGATGAGATTATGTGCCTCCTTTACTCGCGACATTGCTTCTTCAATTTCTTTTTGTGCAGCTTCGTTGCTCTTTGCCTCTGGTTTGGCAATCGCCTGCGTTGAGTGGTATAGCTTGATCGATTGTTCTGCCAGCTGCTTCCCATTCAACAACAACGCCGCAATCACAGCTGCTTGTTCAGACAGCTCCACCAGTGCATAATGCTCGGCATCTGAGTCCCTACTGCACATACGCAGGTACTTGATCTCTATGTTGTTGTTGCTGAAGAAGTCCAGTAATTGCTCAGGGCTCACCGATGTATCCAAATTCGCCACTACAAGTGTCCGACGGATCTCTTCGATACGTCTGCTGTCCAGATGACCTGGTAGGTGTGGATAGGACGGTAGGCTATTTGCCTCTAGCTTGGGATCCATCGTGGTAATCACATGATTTGGAGGAATACCTTCAATAGCATTCACAACGTTCGGTGGTAACTTTGGTTCTGACGGATAAAGGCCTGAAAGAATAAAAAAAAGATAAGAATCTATGCTAAAAAAAAAAGGAAAGCGTTTCTTGGAAATTAAGAAAAAGAATGATTTCTTTTTTTAAATTTACATACATACAAGGTGTAAATTTATAGGTTCAAAATTCGCAATTCAAAGTACTAAGTACTAAGTAAAGAGCAAGAAAGTTTTTAAAAAATTAAGTACAAAATAGTTAGGGGAGACCGGAACTAAGTGGGCTCCTTTTTTTCAACTGCAACTTTCAATAACAAAATAAACGATTTTAGTCAAATGATTATTAGTTTATATGTTTTATAGAGTGATTATAAGACTACAAGATGGCAATAAAAAAATTTTGTGTTTGCAATTTCATTTCATCTATATACACAAAAAATGATGTAATTCGGAAAATAAAATCTCAAAAATTAGTTTTGACTATCGAAAATACGTTTGACTACCTAAACATAACAACGCGGCACCTAAACTAACCAAACTTCGTTGTCATAAGATATATTTTTGCCATTCAAAATTCAAATCCCAGTTTAGTGGATTCTGATGTCCACTTAGCCTCAGTCTCCCCTATTTGTAAATTTTTATTTTAAGGGGATTCTAAAGACAATTAGTTATAATGAATGTGTGTGTGTGTGTGTGTGTGTGTGTGTGTGAGAGTGTGTGTGTGTGTTCCTCTTTTATAGATTCAAAAGTCCTTTTTTAGGATTAAAGTATATGCATTAATACCTGTGAGGTGAAGCTCATGTCAAGAACGACAAAAAAAGTTTGAAATTGAGATCCTCTTTATCATTTCTTAATCCAATATGATACTCTAGAACTGTCACATCGTGACAACATTTGCTTCATATAAAGCCTATTCTACAATTGCATAAGCATAGTTGTAACTGTTGTAAGTGGTCTGTTTCAAAAATTTATCAATCACAACCAAATAGAGAAGAATATTCGATTGTGATTAGACAATTCTCACAACTAAAACCATTTACAACTACTCTTACATTGTAGAATATGTTTAAAAGCTGTACAGTCTATACTTAAATAGTAGTCCACAGACTAGTAGTTTACAGTGCAAAGAAACAATATGGAATTTGTAGAATTGGACTTAGATGTCTAATTAAAACGTTATCGTTATACAAAAATTTATTAAATTTATACCATATGTATGTGTGAGATATTAGGTCTGTTCGCGTTGCATGAAATCCCCAAATATTTTTGCACTTAAAATGAGATAGATATATATTTAGCCTTGAAAAGAGAGAAAGCGAAGATGCCGAATGCCAAAAGTGGAAGCAACGCGAACAGACCTATTGATGCAGTAATCGAATATGTAATCATCATCAATGATTTTCATAACAACTGATGATGACCAGATTAAATGTCTAAACGTTTGATTAAATT